TGCAACTTTTATCTCTGTTGTTGCTATTTTACTTAGTTAAAATATCCAGCTATGTTCTTTGGTTTCAAGATTATTGTTCTGTGCATTGAATTCAGTGAAGCTACCTAAAGACAAATTTTGTCACAAAACATTAAAAATTTGATTCATGTTTATACATTTTGTAGTGTATACATTAAACCAAAAATGTTGCTTTAGGATGCTTATCTTTTATTCTTTAGTTTATTCTTGAGTTCATTTATTATCTATATCACCACCTTTGAAGAGATACTAGGAATAAATTATCTGCTAGCTATCACAGTATATTGGAAATGTTTGCCCATGTCTCTAACTGTGTTAATAGATGTCTGGCCTCAAATGATTTAATGCTGAGTGGCTCCAGCTTTTGACTTACTGATGGGAAAAATTGTACTTCATCACAGAGAATACAAGCCTTCTGGCAAGCACAGTCATGATGTGAACACACTGCTTATTGATACATTTAATACAAATTCCAGCCTGCTGGCAACGTGATTCATATTCCCGATCCTCTGTTGACAAGACTGATGCAATTTCATGTTCTGAGATGGTTTGTGTTCAGCTGTAACTACCTGTTCACAAAAAATATGTGAGCAAAACCTCATGAAAGAAATCCTTATTTTCTCCTCAGCACCTGGGTGTCTTAGAGTTTAATGCATCTGCTGTGAAAGAAAAGATTAAAAGCTCCACTGTAGCATTTGGGCTTGATTTGTGTTTCCATTCACACAGAGGGGTAATACTGGATTGTATGACACTTACACGTAGACTGTATCAAAGGAATGATGTGATGGGAAGTCAAACACTTAGAGCTCCAAAAGTGATTCAGTGTCAGTATGCGTGCGCTTAGTACACTAGTTAATGACATGGAGCTGTTGTAGGGCTGCTCTGCTGCTGCTTCTGCAGATCCTGGGTGGAGCATGCCCAGCATACGCACAGTCTTTGGGAAATTTCCCCACCAAAGGCTCTCTGATGAGGATGGGGAAGATCAAATAGGAGTAAGATGTCATATAAAAGGTCCCTCAGAGTGCACATGCACTAAAGGTGCATACTAGATGGCTAAAGCATATTGTGTGTATTTAGTTTGCGAACAGTGATGACAACAGATGGCAAGAACTGGGCCACAAGGCTGCCTGCCATGGACATCTGCACACAAACAGGCAAAGTGATCAAGAAGTATCTCAGGTGATGTCCATATTGGAGGCACTAGCACAGGCATGTCCTTAGCTGCTACTTGTGGGTTTTCTTGTGATGAAACAGTGCACTAAATATCCAACTGGACATGAACACAATAAAGTGAGCAACTAGTGTGTAGAAGTTGACACCATTGCGTAGCATATACAGATGACTATGCAGGCAAGTCCTACTAGGTTGCCACTGGCCATTTCGGGAGCCCGGGGGGCAAAGGTGCTCTGCCCAACACTCCCCCCATCTCCACCTCTTCCTCATTCCATGGGGCTAAAAGGAGGAGATGACATGTGGTTGCATCTCTGCAACATATATATGTGTAAACACTGTTATCCTTTTACTCCTTCTCCCCACAATGTCATCTTAGCCTGATACTTTTGGTAGGAACTTAATGCTTCTGCAAGAGAAGGGGGATGCCCTATGATAGAGGTTTTGTTCTGCTGAGAAGAGACAGTTAAGCTCATTTTACTCGCAATTTAAGCGAGGACTGTCTCTAACCCACAATCTGTTGAATTTTGTATTTAATTAGCTGAGGAAACTATAAAAAACACATTTTCAGTCACTGAAATGGAGGAACCAGACTGAATAACTGACTCATGTATTAATTCAGTAAGTTCAGGTATTCCTTTAATCAAAATTATTTTCTATAAATCAAAGCAGATTAGAAAAATATAATAAACGTAAAATTAGGCTAATCCAACTGAATTTTAAGATGTGTGGAGGCTGCAAGATAGAATTAATACATTGATCTAAGATAAAGAGTTAATTTCAGACCTTGATCAAAAAAAAACCCCAGTATTTTATGTGCATTATCTGTAAAATATCTGGTGCACAAAAGGACTATCCTTAGAATGCTATCAAATGCTGCTGTATAAATCAATTTCTAAGGTAAATTAATCATTTTGCAGTAAAAACTTCCATGTCAGAAACAGATGTGTTTATATGTTAATATTTAATCCTGTGATCTGATACAAACTGCTTAAGTTATAATACTTGGTGGGGTTTTTTTGTTTTTTGTTTTTTTTTGTTTTTTTGTTTGTTTGTTTGGTTTTTTTCTATATTGCTCTCCAAAGCTGAAATATTATTTCTGCCTTCAGGTTAAGAAATCAGTTACAAGTTTATAAATGCATTTGTGTCCTGGAGGGAAATGTAGAGTTGATTCAGACAAACATCTCAGAAATGAACTACATTCAAGTTGTTTATCAACCTCTCTACATTTGTAAGAGAAATAAATTGTGCAAACAGTATTATTTTTCCTAGAAATTTCAACATTTCTGTTAACACTGACCATTATGAAAATATATTGTGAGTATGCTATGTAGCTGAAAAGTGTCACAATATAGTAGTGTAGAAATATACTTTACCTTCAAAGTTAATGTATTAGCACTGTATAATTTCACATTGTTACCAAATCATGATTTAACTTGTAATAATAAGAATGGGAAAATAGGACTGAAAATATCTCTTTGAACTCTACTCTGAAAATTCTTTTAAACTCTGTTTCTTTGCATTCTACCCTTCACAGAATGCCACAGAACTCTAAAAATGAATAAGTTAGTTTCATTAATGCAAATTATTTCAAAATGTCTCACCCCTCTGATGTAAAAGGTGATGCAAATTAGATGACTGTTCATTGGCACAAACTTTCACAGTTCATTGTTGTGATGGGTTGACCCTGGCCGGATGCCAGGTACCCACCAAAGCTGCTCTATCATTCCCCTGCTTAACTGGACATAGGGCAGAGAAAAATATACCGAAAGGCTCGTCAGTGAAGATAAGGACAGGGAGAACTCGCTCACCAATTACCATCACAGGCAAAACAGACTCGACTCAGGGAAATTTGTTTATGACTGATTAAATCAGAGTAGGATAATGAGAAATAAACCCAAATCTTAAAAACATACCCCTCCCTTCTTCCCAGGTTTAACTTCAGTCCTGATCTTCTCTACCTCCTCCCCCACAGCAACACAGGGAGATGGAGAATGGGGGTTGTGGTGCGTTCCTTGCATCTTATCTCTGCTGCTCCTTCCTCTTCAGGGGGAGGACTCCTCACACTCTTCCCCTGCTCCAGTGTGGGGTCCCTCCCATGAGACATAGTCCTTCATGAACTGCTCTAGCATGGATCCCTTCCACGGAGTGCAGTTCTTCAGGAACAGACTGTTCCAGCACGGGTCCCCCAACAGTGTCACAAGTCCTGCCAGCAAACCTGCTCCAGCCTGGGCTCCTCTCTCCACGGGGCCACAGGTCCTGCCAGGAGCCTGCTCCAGCGTGGGCTTCCCACGGGGTCACAGCCTCCTTTGGGCACATCCACCTGCTCCGGCGTGGGGTCCTCCCCGGGCTGCAGGTGGAGATCTGCTCCACCATGGACCTCCATGGGCTGCAGGGGCACAGCCTGCCTCGCCGTGGGCTTCACCACGGGCTGTGGGGGAATCTCTGAGCTCCTCCTTCCCCTCCTTCTTCACTGATCTTGGTGGCTGTGGAGTTGTTTCTCTCATATAGTCTCACTCTTCTCTCCAGCTGCAACTGCCGTTTGTTCAGTTTTCCCCTGCTTTTCAAACATCTTATCTCAGAGGTGCTACCCCTGTTACTGATGGATTTGGCCTTGATCAGCAGTGGGTCTGCCTTGGAGCTGGCTGGCATTGGCTGTGTCAGATATAGGGGGAAGCTGCCCTTGTAGTGCCCACCCCTACCCAAACCTTGCCACACAAACCAAATACAGCTGTGCTCCCCCAGGTGTGCTGCATGCTCAGAATGTGAGTGATCACCTGGAGACGAAAGTGCTTAATGTATCACATGTGATGAACAAGATAAATCAGAAAGTTGGCTTGGTTCAAAACCAGAAAAATATTACCTGAACCAAGGTTTGAGATCAAGTGCATATTAACCTGCAAACATAGAAACAAATTCTGCATTTAACATAAAGACAACTCAGAGGAAATGTTACTTAAAAAGCTTTTTCATGTCCTAGGCTATTTAGGACTAGACCACTCACTACAAGAATAAAAATACAGTAAAGTGCAAACATGATTATTGACCAATCCTACAACATCCCTATCAATGACAAGTTTGTTGCATCTATGTGTTTTAAAGCACTGTTTGGCAAAAGGCTACATCACATGAAAACCTGTGGTCTCCTTTGCAGTCTCTGGAGAAAATGGGATTATTTCTCCCTGGGTAGGCTTTAAAACAATATTGTCAAACACCTTAATGTGTCACATGCAGAACTATGCTTATGAACCATTTCTGTGCTATGCAACATTACCCAGTGGTCTTGTGTGCTGCCAGTTGTTCGATTGCTGTGTAATTGAGTGGAACATTTGCAGCCTGCCTCAATACCAAGCAAATACATTTAAAGAAACATAGACTATAGAAACCAGGCAGTTACCAAGCAAGCCTTCTGAAGCACACACTTTACAGAACAGCAAATTGTAACAGAGAGATGAATATATAGGTTTCAGGGTCAGTGACCAATGCCAATTTGTATGATACAATTACAGAAGCATTTGTGCTAATTTTTTCTTAACCCCTGAGAACATACAGACTACATAATAACTATTAAAGTTTCCAGTTTGTTCCTTGGCAGATGAATAGTTCAAGTTTTAAGCTGCTTGTATGACTTTTTTTTTTTTTTTTTTTTTTAATATCTGTGGTTTGAAATTGATTGCTGCTTGAACAATCTGGCACCTCTTTCTTCCCAAGCCTTGTTTTTTTTTTTTTTTTCTGAAGTTAGCGAGTGTTCTGTTTGAGATTAAAGTTTCAACAACTGAATCACAATCTCAAAGCCAATGAGTATCTAGTGGGTGACAACAACTTGTCACCTTTTGGGCCTCCTTCTGGCTGAAGACATCAGCATTCAAAGTAGTGCAAGAGTCTGGAAGAACACTTCTGCACTGTCCTCAGGGGATGCCCTGGTCCCTGGCATGCTCTGCATAATAACTGGAGGAAGGGATGATATACATCTTATTCTTATGCAAGGGGTAAGTGGCCATATAAATAGATTTCTGATCCTTACTGATTTGTTTGATGGACAGAGAGAGAATATTATATAAACCAGTTATTCTCTTCATTGTGCCTTTATCAATTACACTATGAAAAAGAGCTTTAAAACAGTCTTTTAAAGATGATTATACTGAGTGCTATATGAACAGATAAAAACTATTTCTTTCATAAAACAGTCACCACTTTATTTAAGAATAAATGCAACATTATCAAGAGGCCGAAGATAGAAATTGTGATTCCTTTTGAGTTGGACAGTAATCTGAAAGTGTGAATATTTTCCTAACATAGCTTGTTTTAATTTAAAACTGTACATCAGCTGATGAACACAGACGCTTCCAGATTGTCTCGTCCTTCGGCAGTCACAGCCCAGATACCAAAATATGACTCCCAAAGAGCAACACTGCACCGGGAATTAATGCTATCAGGTAAATGGGAGTGCATCTCTTTCTGCCTTCATCAGTCACCTATGGTACTGTGAAGGTTTGCTATACCTTCCAGTCGGAATGTAGTGTGGTATACAATGTATATTTTAGATAACCACAGTTGTGTGGTTAAAGAAAGAGGACAAGATATATGCAATCACAGCAAAAAGCAGCCTTTGAAGTGTAAGCCTTTGAAAGAACAACTTGTTTATTGAAGAACAGCAATTAATTACAGGTATAATTTTAAATACAAATCAGTTATACTATATTCTCATTCTTAGAGCTACTTGTGTTTGTCTTCTTGAATATGAAGATTGTGAGATTGAAAAGGGTAAGAAAAGAAAGAAGTGAGACAGGGTGAAAGGAGTGAGAGCTTTAACAGTTTGCTTTAAATAAAGATGATAATACGATGATCATGGAGAATAAATAGGAATGGATACCAGTGAGTGCACTTCCTCAGAAGTTGAATCTAGCTTAATAGATTCAGACACAAGCTTTATTGTAAATCTCATTATTTTTGTATATGGCTACTTGGAAAAGCGTGTTGGGTGGCTTATTCTGAGAAATTTATCATATGGCAACAACACTAATTCTTTTATAAAGTGTTCTTAAATGGGAACCACAGCAAGTTTTATGAGTGTGAAGCCTGTAAGGTTGTCTCAGTTCTAATTTTAATATTCTAACAAGTCAGCCTACGTCAAAGAAACTGGGTGTTAAATAAAAGTGCCAATATATCATCCTTATTTTCATTAAGCATGCCATACTTGTCTCTTTGAATGTCAATTAAATGGACAGAGGCTTCTAAAACTAATAAGGATCCAATTACACGTCTTGTGTAATTCAATTGAAGGCTTGTCTCTGACTTTAGCTTGAAGGAAGTGAACTGCGAAAAGTAGTTTTATCTCTGAATTTGATTGTGAATGTTCTTGATTGGTTTTGGTAGCAATGCAGTAGATTGCTAGTGGTATTTGCCCCAGTTTAACCGCCAAGGAGAGCTGCAAGTGGGCAGAAGAAATAGTGCTGGAAATTAGAAGCCGGCTCAGGCACTAGACACCATGGAGGAGAGACACTGAGGCTTGGCTGCAGACAGTCAGGATGACAGGTCCAAACAGGACCTGCAGCAGGACTGAATATTTGCTGTGGATTTGTGGTCAAGTGCCTGATTACTTGAGGAAAATGGGCAGGCTTGAGTGAGCATTCATGAGGCCAGAGCAGCTGTCTTCCATCCTCCATACTGGGTTATTCCTCAGATTTGGGGTAAAGATTACTGTTAACTTTCCTTTAAACATTGCCAGAGAAATTTGTATAAAATATTTAATTCTTTTATGGTTTGCAACTGTCATAATAAAGGAATTTATGTGAGTTCCTGGGAATCCCTCATTTCACACTCTAGAGGAAGATGAATATGGGCTTTGTTTGCTGGTTTTGTCTGAGAGAATCAGATCACTTGGAGAATTTGGTTCGTTAGGTGAAAGGTTTCTGCAAAAGATGCGTAAGAAAAAAATACAAATATTATTTAATAAAACAAATATTTAATAATATTTTCTATAATTTAAAAATTATAAATTTATGAAAAAGTAAATTATGATCAATCTGCAAAATGAAAGATTATTTGTTTTCAATTTTCTGTTTCAATAAATTAGAATATTCTCTCCATTTTTAATAGATCTCAATTTAATATTGTTGTCAATGTCCTAGCTTTAAAAATGTGCATTATTTAAGCAGCTCTGTCTATGGGAGAATAGCTGGTCCAATGTGCTACCAAATATGAAAGGACTGGGTATGCCACAGATTTCAGAAGAATGCTCTGAGATCACTGTCTGGATAGTCACTGCTCAGCTCTCATACTATCTCTTGAAATGACTACAAAGATGAACGGGGACTCAGCAAATGCAGGTAGTGTTATAACCCCTCTCAAACTGTATGTCTATGTCAATTGTGTGTCTTCTTTATGTTTTTACAGCCAAGTGAGCTTCTGAAGAATATTTCTGCCAGATATACTACTCTTCTGAATAGCTATTAAAACCTGCACTATGTGAAAAAAGAATTATGAGCTAAAACTTCTTGGACTTCAAATACAAATGAACAAGGAGTTAATAATCAGGCAACATGATTGAATCATAGATCTTTCATGGAATAATAATATAAAAAACTTGCATGTATAAATAATGCCTTTATGTTTTTGAAATTCGTCATACCAAGTGGCAGGCTAACAATATGAACTGAGGGTTCCAGCAATTTTTAGCACACAGTTACTTCACAGTATAATAAAGAAAATTACTTGATATTCTTCCCACAGGAAATACATCCTACAGGAGACAGCATAGTTCACTAAAAAGGCACCTCATTGAGAGGTAAGTCCTACATTGCAACATGCAATCATTTCCTCCAGAAATTTGTTCAAATACTTCATTTGACGCTGCTCCTTTATGAAGAATATGCCCATCAAAAATTGAGAATTTCTGCTAATTTATAGTAAGTTTAACTTTAAATTAAAAATGTCTAGGTATTGTATCATAGAATTATACAATTATCTAGGTTAGTAAGAACCTCTGGAAGAGATGGAATCCAACCCCTTGCTTGAAACAGGTCTAATTAGTTCAGGTTGCTCAGGGACTTATCCAGCAGAGTATGCTGCATAAATTATAAACTTGATCAATTCTGTTTTTGTCTCAAAGCCCTGTGTTTGTAACTAGGCAAGACCTACCGATGGAGAATTTAAAGAAGCTCAATTATTCTATTTTTCACAGTCAACTTTCTAAGACCATAATACTAGTGTATTTTATTTCCCAAGTACACTTGAGTTATGCCAATATACATACAGTCAAGAAGCTGTGTGCTGTACTGGATTTCATCATGACTTAATCTTTACTTTTGCATCTGAACTTGAATTATGTGAAGTAGTTTTTGGAATACTGCAAAGTTCTGACAGTGTAGTGGAAAACCTTTTACGGATTCTTCAGACCTCTTGAGCCTTGGCTTTTTTGTTTTGTTTTGTTCTCAGATTGCAAATTATGCTATTTCCATTTATTTCTAATTTTTGGCAGCAAGGATTTTAACAGGATGAGAGGATTTGTCTGGATGGATTCTCAGAGCTAGTTCATCACTGCTGAAGACCTGTTACTAGCACACTGCTAGAATGGAGGTTTAGTGAATAAAGTGAAAATTACCGCTCAACTGTGTGGAGTCAGTCTTTGTGTCTGATTGTCTGAACCTGACCCATGAAAGTCCATGCTGCTTTTCTCTTGGTATGTATTTTGGAAGCCAACATCTAATTTAGGCCACAGCTCTACTCTTGAACCTGAGAGCGCTTGATTTTGGTTTTACTCTTTAGTTCAGGTATGAGTTTATCTCTAGAAAGCCTGGGTTTATCACTTTCCTCCTTCAAATATCATTTAAAACTCTTTCAATGAGCCTTGCTAACTCCTGTGCAAAGATCTTTTTCCCTCTTTGAGGCAGGTGTACCCCATCTGCTGCCGGCAGGCCTGTTGTATAAACTGACCCATGATCAAAAATCCCCAAATTCTGCTAGTGACACCAGGCTCGGAGCCAGGTATTAATCTGCTGGCTCCTTCTGTTTCTTCCCTCATCATTCCTTGCAACTGTAAGGATAGAGGAGAATGCTGCTTGTGCTCCTGATTCCTTAACCAGTTGTCCCAAGGCCCTGAAGTCTCTCTTGTTTGCCCTTAGACTTATAGTTACAGCTTCATCACTGCCTACCTGAAAAATCAATAATGGCTAATAATCTGAGGGCTGTACCAGAGTAGGAAGTTTTCTCCTCACATCTTTAATCCAGGCCCCAGGGAGGCAGCAGACTTCTCTAAGAAGTGAGTCCAGTCTGCATATTGGGCTTTCTCTTCCCTTCAGAAGGGAGACTCCTATGACAATGACCCATCTTTTTTTCTTTAAGGAAGCAGTTTTGATGCAGGGTGTAGGCTGACTTAACCTCGTCAATATTTCCAAGCTAGATGAACCATTGTCATTGTTCGGTTCTACTTGCAGAGCCTCATACCTGTTGTGCAAGGATATCTGAGAAGGTGGGGCAGCCACCTAGGAGACGCTCCTGCTGCACCAGGCAGGAACGTGTCACCATTGCCCCCGACCTCTTGAGTGACCGTCTTGAGCCAGATGGAGAGAGGATAGGGAATCCTCCCTCTCATGTGTCCTGTCTGTCAGTTGGGCCTGTCCCAAGGAAGGTAGGGAGGGATTCCAGTAGTCTATCTCTCCGTCTCACTCCCTGATACATCTCAACCTACATGCCTTGTTAAGACCTTGCCATTTCAAACCATTTCCTTTTTCTAGTACTTTGAGGAAATGAAACAAAGATCGTAACTTTATGGACTCTTAGATAAAGATTACTCAGGGAACTTTTAGAACTTCTTATTTTGACAGTAATGCACCAACAATCATTTTGAACTACTTCTTCATTTATTTATGATATTTCTACAGTATCTGCTACATAAAGTGCCAAAGACTGATTGCAGTGAAGTCTGGTAATAAAATAGCTTTCTGGTGTGTTTGAAGCAAACAGCTCAATGAACTTGACAACTGACCTTTGCAGATATCTTAAAAACAAGCAAGCAGAAAACAGTGGGTTTCTTTTGTGTTTATTGCTTGAGAAAGCTGCTGGAAGTGGCTCTGCAGCTATAGCCGGTAGCTCTGTCTTCTTTGCTCAGAGTTGTGTCCCCGGGAATCTATGTGATGAAGGGTTTAGCTAGACACCCTGGGGATGAACCCAGTACCCCGATGTTTTGACTAAGGTTGTGGAGCACTGCTTTGCCTGCATCTGGGGCTCAGTTTTCGCAAGGAACATGAGGTATCTTCCCACAGATTTTACTGGCATTTTCACAGAAGTTTCCCTGAAGCTGATTATTAGGCTGTCATATGCTTGTTGAGGATGATCTGGCAGCTCAGGCTCTGTGTCAGTAGCATTTTCAGGGATGCCTGCACAGCCCACCCTTGGCAGGATGGCCTGAATAACAATTGCTGTTGGATAGGAATGTGAGTGTACTTGGGGTGTGCGAATAAGATACCCCAAACTGTATGACAGGGTGTCTGCCCAACTGACAGTTCTAAAGAGGAGAACAAATATTGGCCAGATTAAACAGGAACCAGGGACTTCTGAAGAGACTTGAGACAAAAGGGTCAGACTGAGAAGCAATATAAACATGAGAATTTGTAACAGTGGGGAGAGACCTTGGAGTGGGAATGGAGCAGTAGTGTAAATCTGGTTTGACACTACCAGAGGCTGCCTCACCAGCCTCATGAACTCTGCATCTGCCTGATGGCATGTCCTACCCTTTGGATGTGATGGTCAGCCTGCATCCATTGGCTGGATTGACAATGTGGGGTACACCAAGCAAAGACCCATCCTGGAGCATGATTAGATGACCTTGTTGGATGATCTCTCACCAGCTTTGAATTAAGGGGCTGTAGGGAGCCGTGTGGGGTGTGGAGCACCCACATATGAAACAGAAGGGATGTGCAAATGGGGGAACCAGTGCATATAATGCACATGGGTGAGGGCACATGAGATATTTGTGCACCCAAGCATGTTTGAGTGCTGCTGTGCATCAGAGAGAGTAGAACTTTTTAGTATTAGTCATAGAGGGATGTTTGGAAACTTGTAGGTATATGTTAACATTTTTTAAGTGTCTGATTTTGGTGGTATATCTGTTGTATTGCTAGTATTAATTCTGAGTGGCATTGATCCTGAACTTGCTGACTAGCAGTTAATTATGTGTAGCTTTGATCTTGATTTGATTTAAACTATGTGAGTTGAACATCTTTTCCCCATGACAAGTGTCTGCCAAGATATAACATCGTCACTGTACAGTAGTTGAGCAGAGTTCAGAGCTGATGTGATTTCAGAAGGGATCCTCCAGAAAGTTGAGGGTGTCTGTTTACAGCTAATGCTGTATTAATCATACCTCCTTGGTGAGGCTGGGAAGGGAAAACTATGCAACGGCTACCTACAGGGCTGTGGTATCCAGCTTGGGGGCCTCCCCCTCAGTCAGCTAATGTTTCTTTAGAAGAATGAGGCTGCTCTGCTTATTGTTTTCATTTGTTCCTTCCATTCACAATTTCTTAAATTTATTAGCTTAAAGTCAACCTACTTACAATCAGTTTCTTCCATGTCTTTGACTGCTTTTTACCATATTCTTGTCTTCCTTCTAATTCTCAGTGTGAGTCTAGCTTCTAAACCTAAAACATCTCCAGAAAGATCTTCTGTCTTTCAGATCTATTTTCTTAGTTTGTATCCTTCCTCTCTTCTCCCAATCAATCTACAGCATACATAAGAAGATGCTTACTTCATTTCACTATCAACGTTACATGAAAACTTCACTGGGATTTATGTGGACACAGATGTGGGTCGTATTCCAAGCAGAAATGTCTTTTATGGATTGCAGGCTTGACTGAGAGGAAAGGGTGAAACTGGGTGATTGAACAGCCAAAATAGATGTCAAACTTTCTAGTGATTTCAAGTCTATTGCATGTATGTCTACTTTAAGTCTCTTATATAGGCATAGATGTGTGAGGGACAGTCTGGCTGGCTTGGGGCCTCTTTGGCATTCAGTATTTCTGAGATGGCCAGAGAAGAGGCTGGAGTGGCCAAGCATGCGGCTAGTGTGCGACTGTGTAGTCTGAAGTCTGCCTATGCCTGCAATTTGGACAATGGTAATACCCTGCAAAGAGAGCATTTCCTAGAGACCATTTTCAGTGAAAGCAGTGTGGAGAATTTGCCCGTGGTGTCCTACAAATCTAAAATAGCTGACCATGACATTTAGAAAATTCAGTCAGTAGAGCAATTTGAGCAGTTTACAGGGCCCATGTCTGGGTAACTATATAAGGATAAACTGTTCAGCCTGTATATTACCCAAAACATTTACTTACTGTCCTGTAAATGGATTATATGATATTCTACAGAGTAATACAAATAAATCCATCTCAGACAAAGACATGCTGAGCTGGCTGCTTGTTGAAAGCTAGAGAGTGCACAAGCATAGAGACATAGGCATATACACATATGCTATTTTAAATGCTTATAAAAAAGAAGCTATATTAAATTCCAGGGAGTCTTTTAGGAATCTGTTCAGGGTAGGATTTACAGAGCTCTTTCATGGCTTTGAATACTCAGCTTCTATTAAAATGGATGGGAACTGAGCATCCACACCCCTTACGAAGTTAAAAAAAATATGATTAATCACTTGATGCCTCAGTTTTCCTTTTAAGAATGGGGAATAATCACTTTCCTTTCTTTCACTTCTCATCTCTCATAGGTATTTTGAAGCTAGGGTTATCTCTTTAGGTAGGTACAACATCTAGCAGAGTGAGGTCCTGATCTCAGACAGAGCTTAA